GGGCAGACTCCCGCATCCCGCAGGTCAAGGGAAACGGACCCCTCCGGTTGCAGGTGCCTTCTGCATTCCCTTGTACGTGCCCTATGTGCTGACGGGGAGATGGATCTTCGGGAGAAGCCTCTGCAAACTCTGGCTGGTGGTTGATTACCTGCTCTGCACCTCCTCGGTCTTCAACATCGTACTGATTAGCTATGACAGATTCCTCTCGGTGACAAGAGCGGTGAGTACTGTCATGACAGCTGAGAGGGGAATAACTCTCCTCCCGCTTTATTCTCCAAATTCTCTGCAATAATTAAAAGCTCTTTAAATCCTCTAGAAATTATGAATCTTTCAGCCTGGTGATGGAAAGCAATAATTATCCACAAATACACAATTCAGCTGTGGTTTCAGATTAGTGTTTCTGGCGCAATTAAATCATTTAAGGCTCAGACCCCATTGTGCAGGTGTTCGCTTCCCAGATGACAGGGCAGTAGTGTACACGTGAGTCAGCAAGGTAAGCAGACCTATCACTAACCTGCAGGGGCTTATTATCTCCAGGACAAACAAGTGGATTGCAGTCGGACTCCCAGTCTCTCCCTGGCTACCAAAGCAGTAGATTGCAGCACCACCTTCAGCAGGGCACAGCCCTGAGGTCTCTGCGTGCCCGGTGTGATGACTTTTCACAGGAGGTAACGAGCAATTCGCAGTCAGATCAGATCCGTTGCTGCTTACTTGTCCCCTGATTCCAGATCCAACATGGATTAGCTGCAAAGCTTGTTTAGAGCCAGAGATAGGTGCCAGGAATTTGATGCTCTCCCCAGGAGTCAGAGACTGGCTGTTGAGAACTCAGGCAAGCGGTGGGGTGCAGCACAGTGCCAGGCTCCAACTAAGTCAGCACATTTCCACTAAATAGAAGCCTCATCTGGCTTTGGAGCTGCAAGATGAGGGTTCTAAGTCTTCCCTGCAGGAGTGTGATCTAGCTAGCAATTCCTCCTGTTGCCTATAGCATATGACTTTGTCAAACTGCTGGGATATTGCCTAGCAACTTTACCAGGAAAGCTAACAGCTCATTTGTGAAGAGCCTCAACTGGCTGGGGTGTGTGACCATGCTTAAGAAAAGGTTTACCCGTTGCAGGTTGCCTACAGAGCCCAGCAAGGCAACATCAAGCGAGCGGTGCTGAAGATGGTTATGGTATGGTTTTTTTCCGCCCCTGCCATTATCAGCTGGGAGCATGTATCAGGTCAGAGCATCATTCCCCCTGGGGAATGCTACGCCGAGTTTTTCTACAACTCGTATTTTCTCATGACAGCCTCGACGCTGGAATTTTTTACTCCTTTCATCAGCGTAATGTTTTTCAACTTGAGCATTTACCTGAACATACAGAAGCGTACCAAAATACGCCTGGATGTTTTCCAGGAAGTGCACAACCAGTCCTTCACTGAAGAGATGGAAATGAGCCCAGAAGCAAAGCTTTCTTTGAAATGCTGTAAGTGGGAGCACAAGGACCCAGCTGAAACCCTCGACCTCTCCAAGAGCAAAGCTCAAGCAGCAGCCTCCACTGCCAGCCTGGGTGCCAAAGACCTGCTGTCAACAAGCTCCGAGAGCTCCGGGAAACCCAAGTGTTACAACAAAAAGAGCCGTAAAGATTCAGCATCCACTCTGTCCTTAGAGAAACGGGTGAAGGTAGTATCCCAGAGTATGGCTCAACGCTTCAGGCTCTCTAGGGACAAGAAAGTCGCTAAGTCACTGGCAATCATCGTGGGCATTTTTGGGATTTGCTGGGCACCATACACTCTCCTGATGATCATCCGCGCTGGCTGCCACGGCCACTGCATCTCTGAGTACTGGTACGAGGCTTCTTTTTGGCTGCTGTGGATCAACTCAGCTGTCAACCCTGTCCTATACCCCCTCTGCCACTACAGCTTCAGAAGAGCTTTTATGAAACTCCTCTGTCCCAAGAAGCTAAAGATTCAACCTCACGACCCCCTTCACAACTGCTGTAAGTGAAGCGAGTGGATGAGAAGAGCTGTGTTTTAACACACCTGTGTTATGGGAAAGTCCTGTAAGCTTGCTTCCTTGGAAGAAGGTGGGAGCACTGGTCTGGGACATGTAAGGAAGAGAGCAGTGAGACCACTGTCAATTTATTCTACTCCATCAACAACACAAGCGCACAGAACAGATCACAAACATCAACCACAGGCAGAGAAATCTGCGTCCGCCACCTGCCGGTGCCACGGAAGAGCTCTGCTGCCACCTAGTCAGCCAGAGCGGCACCAGCATTTTGGTAAAAGCAGAAAATAAAAGCTAACAGAAAAAAGCATCTAACCTAAAACTACTGGACTAAAGCTTAACTGTTTGCAGATCTGATTTTTCACCTAAGCGTGGGCGTTTTTTCCTCACATTTAACATACTATATGTAAATAATAATGCAGAAAGAAGAGAATGAACCTCAGAAGGAAAACACCTCATTTATCATTATTGCTACAGCAGCTACATCGGTAACTGAGATCCCTGCTGCATGCGGTGCAATAGCTGTCCCTTCCATTCCCCAAGAAGGGACAAATTTCTGCCCTAAGGAGTCTCCAGCCAGACTCGGAGTCCCCAAGCATCCCTGCTGGCATTCCCTGATCCCGCTTCAAAAACAATCCGATTTTCTTTGTGTCCAGCCACGCTCCAGGCAGGAGCACATCCCTCCTGCCCAGAGCCGGGCAGCAGGAGCAAGCCCGGGCCCTGGCAGCCCCACAGCAAAGGGCTCCTGCACCTACGGGAAAGGTGCCAGCACGGTGTCGCCTTCTCCACAGTCTTCCTCGCGGTGGCCCAAAGACATTTTAAAAACTCTCCTCTGAAGGATCTTAAAAATACTCTCTTGGCAACGTGTTGGAGAATGACAAGCACTGAGAGAAGTCAATCTTGTGTTCCCTTTTTTTAAAGTTAGTTTCAGACCTCTTCATTTTAGCAAGTTCCAGAACTCTTGCATGCTTCCTGTTAAAATACATAATTTGAATGGAGACCTGGATTGAACCGATCCATGCAATACAAGCATCAAACTTTTGGTTTATTTTTTTACAAAGCAGTTAATTAATTCCACAGATAGAGCATCAGATTCGAGAGAGTAGGGCACTAGCCTCAGTCTTAACGTAAAGTCTTGGCCATTTTATTTCTGCTTCTCAGCTTGTGCTTCTTCCTACCTGCTCACTTATTCTGTAACCTCTTCGGAAACAGGTGTAGTACGATCATGAAGCAAAGGATTTCAACTGCCCATCTCTGTTAGTGCTGCTCAGTGATACAGTGATAAAATATGTATATTAGATGCCATGGCAAACGCTTATATTGAACAGTATTGTACAGGGAATCTCAAGATCGTAAGTCTGAAAAACTACACTTACAAATAGAAACCCAAATGCTGTAAAGTAGTACCCAAAAGATCATAACGTTGTGGTTGCCAATCACAGTTCACTGTTGTAAGCAAACTGCTTTTTGGCTGCTGCTAGGAATAAAAGGAAATGCTATCCAACGTTACTCCAGTAGTATTTGTTGAGTAGAGCAGTATTGTCATCTGAAGTCTGTTTTTAACTGATATCTTGTTTTGTATATATCTGTCAGTCTTGTGACATGTCCAGCCAGATCATTAGATATGATTTGAAATATGTCTTCTGACGTAACTGTACTAAGAATTGACAGTATGTGCTGCTGAGCCTGCTCTTACCTTTCCTTGTGTCTGCTGCCTTATAAAAACACCAATAAAGTATTTTTACACAAAGCTTGCCCAGTATTATGTGGTAAAAAGGGTGTTGCTAGAAATGGTCAAATCCATCTGAAAGTAAAATATCTACTGATTTGCCTGAGGAGACAGTTAAAGCAATTCTTCCCAGCTTTGGTTTGCCTCTATACCCATTGAGAGTAACTTTGTTCAAAAGTGAGGACCAGCTTTAAATCTCAAGGTGACTTCGCAAGAACACAGGCTAGGAATTCCTTTTTTTCACATGTCCATATGAAGAGCTAAAGCTCTAAGCAAAATACCCAGGTTTCAAAAGACTCATAAAATTCCTAATACAGGGAACTGGTGGAGACTGGTTTTGTTTTCAGAGATCCATAAGGTCGTGATGTCCCTGCACTGAAGCACATGTGCCATCTGTTCAAGCACTGGGATTTCGTAGAGACCCAGGAGCGACATCAATATATTACTGTACAGCCTGAAGTCCTAGCAGTACTTTTCTCTGAGCTTTCAGAATGTGTTTTTGGTCTTAAAGTCCTTTCCTAAAGAGCGAAGAAATGGACACATTTCACTGTGAGTCTTTTGCACAGTATTTTTATGGTCTCTGACCTCCACACGGGCAGGATTACATAAGCTTGGCTGAAAGTAATTTTATTCATTGGTGGATTTTGCAGGAAAGATACTTACATTCCTTCCTGAAATAAGAGCTCTTGCCTTGCCAAATAAAAAAGAAAAAATAACCATTTATGCTGGACATGAGGTCACACCTGAGCCTGGTTTTCACACTGAAAATGTTACGAGCTGGTCTGAAGTTTCAGAGTAGCTGATGAGTAATTCAAATATGCTCCAAAAAGTATTTGAATTCTGCTGATTTTTAGTGTTCAGAATCTAAATGTCTATATTTATTTGGAAGAGGCAGGGACTAGGGAGCTTCTAGGCATAATCAAACACAAACTCTGAAAACACAATACCATTAGATAATGTAGGGCCTCTTGTCAACCAGCCTGGAAAGACACCTATATAAATATTTGTGCTACCTTACCTGCTAAAAAAATTTAAAAATAAATGCCTCATACCTATTGTCCACACATAAACTGAGCAGGCAATATCTGTTTTCAAAAGCAATTAAGAAGACTTGCTGTTCCACACAGAAAAGAAACCCAGCTATTTCCAGGGGAAAGCATCCAATTTATACACAGAGTGTTAGTAAACCACATTTATGCAGCTGTAAATCGTACTCAGTAGTTTTTTAAAGAAACAGGATAAGCAACTTCCCGTAAGACCTGTGTGGAGGTAATGCCAGCTCTCTTACACAAACCTACACTCTATTAACCCGAGCATGCAAAGGCCACTATTAAGAGGTCTGTGGTCCTTTCATAAAGCAGTATCTGCATATCAATAAAATACATTTTTTAGCACAGCTACTTTCTTTTTGGGTCTGTAATGCTTCCTCCCTAAACACCAATAATGAGTGATCTCTCTCTTCATGCAGATGGACAAACTTTGCTCCCACAGCCTCTCTTAAGCACTCTCCCTCAATTACCATTCCTTGTTTGTTCTCTCCAACCCGCAGTTACAGAAACTGCTTCATTGTTCCAGAGACATCACTGAAGCTTCATTAGCTCAAGTGAGAGACTAAAGAAAAAGAGAGAACACGGAAAGAAGCTTTTGTTGAAAAACACCTGTCTGGGACAATTAATGAGATGTGCTGAGAGGGATTGGTGCTGAGATCAGGAAGATGTGATCATATGTTGGTTTGAAAGGATGCTGATGGTTTGCCTTCCATGTTTGTAAATTAACATCCATTTTCACAGCAGAACTAGGATGGAAAGACAGCAGGTTAGTACCCTTGACAGAGAGAAGGTGAACAACGTGATTTCTAGGAGGGAGGATTAATTTTTCATAACCCCAGCTCCTGTGCACTGACAGCAGCGCAATTCTGCAGCACAGACCTAGTCTTGAAAGAGACCACAACTCTGCAGAACTCATTCTGCAAATAGATGGGACACAATAAGGAGTGTTATTATCTTCACTTCTAACGTGGGAATTGCAGAATAAAAACACAGCTGGCCTGCACGAATGCCACGAAAGGGGAAATCTCTCTTGATTTTTAACACCACAAAGCCAGCCCTCCACGCAAGGTTTCACGGATGTGCATAGTAAGTAACTCACAGCAGTTCTGTGTTCCTTTAACCTTGACTTCTATCTCCTCTTTTCCTCCTCACCATTGCACAACATAATAGAGTTGGCCAATGTAGTTGTATTTGCAGGCTTAAGGAATTAGGAGGTTTAGAAAAGCAACTGGGAATTCTGGAGGATAAAAGGCATTACCTATAACCCAATATCATCATTTCATTGAGACATAAAACTATCGCTGGCGTTCACTTACTGCTACGGGCAGGAAGACTTGTACACACCTCAGAGGCAAGAAAACCCAGGTCTGCCCCTAAAGCTCTTGTTGTGAGCTCAGAAATGTTGATGACTCACTAAATCAGCACTGTTTTTATTACTAGAGTCCAGAATGCATGAGTGTTATTTATTACCAGGTATTTACAGGCCCTACATTTTTATTCCATAAATTAAAAGGCATTTGCACAGTCTGGGTGCAAAAGGGAACTACTATTTAATCCAATTATCAAACGTTACAGGTAGAGCTATGCACGCATATTCGTGGGGGAAGAACAAGACTATTATTGTTCCATTTGTAAAACTCTACAACCTGAAACTCTTTTTAAAATTACTCAGATGGACTAAAAAAGGACTTTTAGTTGTGTGGTAAAGGCTTTTCTTATATTCCAAATACCTGACAATAACTGCTATGACCCCCTGCCATAACACACAATGATTAGATATTCCAGATTGCAAGGAAAGGGTATGAAAGTAGGTAGTTGTGGTGTGTGTGTGTACAAACACCACGAGTATCCCTCTTGCGTACATAAACGCACAATTCATGACAAAAATAGAGTTTTCATACGCAGACTGTGCCTACAACTCAGGCAGACCTTCTTTAAACAGAAAAATGCACCTGCGGGGCAGCACTGACTTTCAAATGGTTTTTAACGCAACATCCTAAGATTCAGTAGCACAATTAACACTGAAGGAAAACTGATTGCAAAGTAGTTCATAATCTCATTTGAGGTATCTCTGAGAGTTCACAACCAACCACCCCTCTGCCAGAAGGGCAATGACAGTTTTGGCAAATTTTTTAGCCATTAAGTAACAGCTTCAGTCCTTGGAAGCTGTTTATTGAACAACAAACGATAATGGGAGTTGTATGTGCAATTCCTTGAAC